AGGTATTTCTCTCGATAATTAACAAACACATAACTTTAAGCTTACGAGTTTGAAAAGTATATTTTAGTTAATGAAAAAAATATATTACATTGCCTAAAGCTGGTACAACGAACATACAAACAACGTTATGAATTAAGTGATAAAGCTGTGACGATTACAAGCCACAGCGAGACAAACATAAGCTAATTAATTATCTTTATAAAAATATCTCTTTAGTAAATATACGGGCAGATATTATTTTATCGTTAGAACTTTCATTTATTAATTGCTTAAAATTTTGCCATATGTATTTTATATTAAAAAGAAAAATGTTCGATGTTTTTAAATTCAAGTGTGTTTGTACCAAATAATATGGTATTGCCACTCGAAAATATTTCTAGTTAATAGGTACTTTTAGGTGATATATGAGTATTTTCTGTTATTTAGGGAGATTGAAGAAAATTATTGTAGTTCCTAAATTGATTTCACAATAACCCTGTCCGTACAATACTAAAGAGAACGCAGCGTACGCTACCTTACAATTAATACTTTTTTTAATGTATTATTTGTCAATTTTTTAACTTTTTTTTATGGCACCACAGCCAATTCTTCTCTATTCGACAATCACACGTTAATTGTGCATAAATAAATTATTTAAGTGCTTTGAAATACTCTTGGAACCAGAGCCATGTAAATTTTAAAATATACATAAAAATAATAAAATATACATTAGAACCTAAATAAATATAAAAAAGGTCGAAAAAAGATTGTATGATAAATATCACGAACGTCCAAGATAAATCTAAATCGGGCGTTATTGATGAGTATACCTTGTATTAAAGTGACTCTTTAATTTGGTACTTTAAATGCCGCTTGGTAAATTTAAAAGATTAAAGACTTTATTTTTACATCCTCGGCCGATGCATTAGTCAACACAAATTGGAAATTCGAGTTTTTTATCTATAGCTTATCGTTCTTACGATAATACTTTCCCCTCGATTTAACTAATAACCTTTAATATATTACGAGTATTTAGCCGATATGAAAATATAATTAATGATAACAACAAAAGAATTTTGTATTTTAAACTCGTAAAAATAGGCATGTGGCCTAAGAAAAAAGTACAAAAAAGGGAAAAATTGTTTCAATTCAAACTTATTAAAAAAAAATAGTATTTATTGAATATGTATTTTTGTATTTTTTGTGCCAAAAACGGTTAAAATGGACGATAAAATATACATAGGATGAATGACATTCGATCTTTGCCATAAAATATAATAAAAGGTTTGAAAAATACGCGACTGAAATCAAACATAACCTATATAGTTAATTTCAAATTAAACACATATTATAAAATATAACATAATAAATAAGAAAAAAATAAAATAAAGCAAATCTGCTCGAGTCCAAAAAGTATTACAAATGAAAGCAATATATTATTGCCATAACCCAAGTATATGTATGCCTATATGTTAACATCACAACCGCCGGTATAAGCGATGCCTATAAGCTCATTGGAATTTCGACCTTACAACAAATGGAGTCTAAATTGCATGCACGATGGCACTAAACAAAATGACTGTTATATATTATAACTGAGGTAAAGTAAATGAGAAAATATTTTGACTACTATAAAAACAGCTTTAGATGTAAAGAAAATATCGAAGGAAAAAAAATTTCGGTCCGCCATTTAATTTGTATGTGAATTTGTTTTAATTCAATCAGTAGATATGATTAAATATCGTTCGATATAGAATGACGTCAAGCGTTAAAAGCATCGATCAAAAAGTACTAGATACACAATCAGCGACAAAATATATCCTCACCGAATGAGCACTCATTTGAACATTTGAGCAGGCTTTTATTCATTTTTTTGTAAAACAACTTTAAGCATTGCATTTAAGGTTCAATTTACATTGTTGTTTATTTATTTCAACTAGAATAATTACCTAAACATAATTGGCGACAGTTTTAAAAAAAACATGCATGGGATTGTGTATCTAGTACTTTTTTGATCGATGGTTAAAAGTCATACAATGTCATTATTATGGCATCACGGCCTTCTATTATCTAATCTATAGTTCTATGCCTCAGGCTATAAAATAAGATAGACAGAACGTGTAGAAGAAAGTAGTAGAAGCCTTAATTTGTATATTAATTACCTGTTTATAATACCATTTCTTCTATAGAGTATAGAAAAGTTTTAGGCTGTAACATTTTTTTCACATGGCTACTTTGAATCCGTGTAAAAAAATATAAATACTCGTTTGCAAAGAGAACTATAAAATATAATATTTTCTGTTAATTATTATTGCCCCATTTTTATATTACTCGCTTTTAGCACAAATTTCACCCTCCTTCAAAATTGTGTTTTTAGATCACAAATGGGTGAGAGGGTTATTTTATCTTTACTAAATATTTGTCAGCTTTTTTGTAAGAGTTTAGGCTTTATTTATTAGGCTGTATTTTATTAGGCTGTTATTAAATTTCATAAAACAGTCGTTAAAGTTAGTTGGATATTTATAAATTTAATTTATCAAAACCTATTGAAAAATAATAATTTTTATTGGGACTGTTACCAACCCCCGGAGGCTTTATTAGCACAACATTGTGAACGTTCACGAAAATTCTAGAAGCAGGCACTCAGTATCTACCTTTTGCTTCACTACCTTTATTTCATACGTTCCATCTATCGTATTATTTTAGCCTGAGATCTATGAATGTATTAAAAACAATGGCAAGTGACAAAACATGTGTTAAACATGTCATAAGCTTTAAAATTACCTTTTAAATACAATTAGGTATATGTAAAATATTTTATTTACTAAATATTATTAAAGAATGCATGATGCTAATTGAAATATTAATTATAAGTGATTTGACAAAATTTTATCAATTGTCATTGTTTTATTTTTACTTTTTTAAAGGAACTAATATGAAGGTAATTTTTGCTATATCATACAATTCAAGCAAAATCAGCTTTATTTAACTTAAGTTAGAATTTAACTATAAAGGTGATTTTGGCTTGAACGTTAATAATTTAAAATTTGCAGTTCGTATGGGATGTCCTGATTTAAAATTTTTACTATACTATAAAATAATTTAATAAAAAAAAATGAATGTAACACTTATTTTCTGAATTAATTTATGATGAAATTGTAATGATTGTATAAATATGTTTTTTTTAAACAGAAATTTCATATGTATTGAAGATTATTTATCTGTGGAGGATTTTTACCGTAGAGTCCCATTCAAACTATTATTTAAAAAAAATGTGACAATTAGCTATCATACAGCACACATTCATCTAAAACATTCGCACAATAAGCCTATCCTAACCTATTGCGCACATTGTGAGCAAATAATAAGTAGATTAAAAAAGGTAATATTCAAGATAAAACGCTATATATTCAGTTGTACACATTCAGCTTTTTAAGATGAAGATGCAGTTGAAAAATCCTTAAAAGAAAGAGTTGTATTTATATAAAAAAAATGTAATTCATTAAAATAAGAATTTTTATTTTATATGCCTCGTAGAAAAAAAATAATCTCAAAAATATGTTGCGTACAAATGAATACACTTCCCCACTTCGACACTCCCAAGTATAAAAATGTAAAGAAATCGAAAAGCAATTTAAATAATCTATAGACGATGACGTCAATAAAATAAAATGTCAAAGATAAGATAGAAGATCATAGACAAGAGTATTCTATATTAAAAAATATAAATTATTATTTATTTATTAATGTGCATAATATGAAAATAATACGATATTCATTATAGGCTCAAGGGCAAGGAAATATTTCTCGTCATATTTTTTTAAATAATATACATTTTAGATGACGCAAGACATGTCAAATCGAATAGAATTGTCTATGCTCTAATTCCATAAATAAAATCCTATACTAAAAAGCCACATAAGGCATTATTGTGGTGCTGTCGAGAAAAAATATTTTTGCACATTTTTTTTATTGATTTTTATCACAATAATCATACTAACAATCGTCCAATGATTTTTAGAAAAAATACAATCGATTTATCTTTATTTAATTTTTTTTCAATCAAAAAATATTTACAACTTCTTACACCTAATTTTTATTTCAAAAATTCATATTTTTCTCGTCGAAATGTAAAACTTAAGAACACATTTGACTAATTATGATAAAAAACATTTCTACAACTTACATGAATAAAAAAAAATATTATTTTCAACTGTCCATTGCTGCTAAGGAATTAAATAAAACTTACACACCATCTTGAGATCGGTCACTCACTTTATATTTTTTTTTTTAGTTTTTTCACAGTTTTTATCACATATTTTTGAATACTGTTTACCTCTTAGGTTGGTATTACTTTTTATATAGGGATATGTATGTCACTTTGTCGAAGTGCGACGAACAGACCAGGGCTGCCACACTAGTGGTGTTAAATTTTGTAGAATCTGACAAACTGACTGCATTCAAGATGTGAATTTTTTACCTTTGCTTGGCGATACCTAGAAAAAACACATATTATGTAATGTAATTTTTTTTTATATATACTTTTTTATTTATAAACCGATTGTAATGAAACAAATACTAAATGTTAAGTGAAGCTTACTACAATACGTTAGTGAAAACCTCACCCCAATCCCTTAAACCGTTTCTGAGGTTCAGACAAACAGAATAAAAAAAAACTTTGTTTTGGGTTAAATGCGTTAATCTACCTAATAGCGTAATAATTACGAATATAATTGCATTGTAGTAAAAAATGTATTATAATAAGTTAGAAAAGGGTGAAGGGGCCCCTAGAATTGTATTGCCTATGGGCCCCCGATATGGTTAATTTGGCCTTGGGCCTTCAGTGGTACCAATTTCCGCACGAAACGTCATAACAAGCAATTTAATTCATGAAAAAGTGACCCAAATTTTAACAATAAAATAACATATTTCACAAATTGAAACAAAATCATCAGAATTACCTAGCAAATATAAATTAATATAACAATATATTATGTTTATTTACAAACCTTGTTGTGTCACGCGATGGAGCTCACCGCGTAATGGGGGCGTGTGCCCTCCGGCTGATACAGAGTTATCGACGCTATGTAGTTGTTTGACATCACCTAAAATATAATATAGCAATAAATAAATATAATTAAATAAATATGTCGGGACATTAACACAGCACCATCTAGTTCCATGGTAAGCTACGAGGCGTGTGTTATGGGTACCGGGTAATGAATACACTACACATATATAACGTTAAATACATACATGTTCTATAAAAAAAAACCAAACGTTTTAAATTAGTTTACAAATATAATTTGTATACTGAGTGATAAGTAAATAAATGTTAATAAATATAAATATAAATGGATTACTATAATGAAAAAAGGTAAAATTATTCAATCTCTCTTTCAATTGGAAGAGAATGAATGCTTAAGAACACGCAAAAAAATGTACAATTATATTTATGGTACAAAATTCTATGTTGATTTAACTAATACGTATATAAATTTTCCCTTATTTTTAAATCAAAAGTAAACGACTTGTATGGTAAAATTGAGAATAGTAAACAGCAAATCACGCTACTTATTTTTGAATTCGACATTTATTTTGGAAGGCTCCGTCTATATATTTCTGTATAATAAGTCTAAGGTAATAATGATACAACAATGTTACGAATGTGAAAATTTGTGAGTGAAGAACAAATTTGGGAGAAATAGAGAACGGAACGAACTTTTCACCCTCATCAAGGACTATTTCCGGGATAAAAAACCATCCTATGTCCTTCCCAGGGGCTTAAACTATTTTCATAACAAATTTCATCTAAATCTGCTCAGCGGATTAAGCGTGAAAAGGTAGCAGACATACAAATAGAGTTACTTTCGCATTTATAATATAATGGGGTGTCATCACGAAGAAAGAAAAATTAGTTTAAATAAATCTCAACAGCTGACGTTACATGTGTCGATTTGTTATTAAAGTTGCGTTAAATTAATAATAGATAAAAAAATAGATACAAAAAAGATGTATTATTGTTTTAAAAACATATTCTCTATTAACAAAAATAGCGCAAAGAATATCCCGAATTAGCGCTGTCTACATTTTTTGTATAGGATGAGGCATCTGTACTAGTATATATGTAGTATTAAGAGATCTGTGATATTATAGTATAGATGAAGAATACGGGCGTTGAACAGTCACCTCAAATATCATATCCTGGTATCCGTAGCAGAACGTGGAGCCGAAGGGGTTGGTGGTGTTGGTGGAGGAGGCGCGGTTGAGCACGACGGGGCGCTCGCACACGCGCAGCGCGCGCGACACGCTCTCCCACTTGCTGTACGCCGTGATGCACACCGCGCCCAGCGACTCCACCAGCGTGTTCGACTCGCATCTGACCGAGAGAGAGATAGACACATGTGAGTGACTTATAACCTACGTCCACACCGGTGCGCTTTAATGTTCATCATGCTTTTTCAACTTTCAATTCGTCTCGCGTCAAGCGTATGCAATATTGATTGCCTTAAGCATGCAGCTTGTCGCCTACGCCTGTGCGTCCTGGTCGATCGTCAAATGCGGCATATTTAGTATCGACTACGAGGAAAAAACGGAAGAAAAGGAGTATCTGGATGAAATATTATTTGAATAAACAGAATAACACGATATTGAAAGATTTAGATCAAAACAATGGCATCCTTTTTAAAACTTCACACGAATGTCTAAAGCCACTTTCAACAAGCTTTTGAAAATAGTGGATCCAAAAATTACGCAAAAAAAAAATATTATAAAAGGCACGGAATGTTACACGTACACCCACCAGTGGCGGATCAGAGTGCGCTACGGATATGCGCTGTTGTTAAACTAGTTTTAGCGCATGCGTCTCTGTAATCGCTATGGCGCTCCATGCATGTGACAAAATAAATAGAAATAACATATAAATATTTATACATACAATAGAAAATTTGAAATACTTTCTTTTTAATTTCTTTTTAAATATTAATTTTTAAATTTATAATGTGTTGTTGTTGTTGTTAAACAGTTTTATTTTTGAATAAATTATTATTAGTGGTATTAAGGTATCAATAATACAATAAATAATATTTATTATAACGAATTTTAATTAATGTAAAACTAAATAAACTAATCTTTGATTCACTGGCGCGGACATACCTATATGATGATGATGATGTTCTCCCGACCGATTCCGGCCACGGCGGCCAATCTCATTGAGACTAGCCAACTGCGCAGGAGGTATTATAGTGCACAAGTGTACGCGCAGACACAACGTGCACTCTCTATTCCTGTCACTCTCATACTCCGGTGGGACGACTGCTCGACACGACCAGTGAGAGTTAAGGCGCAGGACCGACGGCTTTACGTGCTCTCCGAGGCACGGGGGTGAAACACCGCCAACTTCCCAACTCCGGGCTGTTACTGAGGCTTACTTATACAGAAAGACTCAATAACTAAGCTTGGCCCGACCCGGGACTCGAACCCAGGACCTCCGGGTGTGCAGCCGTACATGCTAGCCACTACACCACGGAGGCGTATATAGTGTGTGCGTGAGATACATACTGAGTCAACTAGTTGTTGAATTCGCTTCACAGAGAGAGGGATAGAGATGTGACTTACTTATACGTATATGTATACGTTCGTGTACGTGTGTGTGCGTACGTATGTGTGTGTTTATTAACCATTAAGTATTGGGTTTGCAGTGTATTTACGCACATAGCAATATTTATTATATGAGTTTATTTAAATGCAATATGAATTTTGCTATATTCAACATATTTTGGTATAAAATAAGATAATCAGACAATTTGCAGATCAACGCAATCTATTATCATAAGTCTACTCTAAAAAAAAAGTAGTCCGTTATCTAAATTCTTTGGAATTATGAATGAGATGGAAGAGCATCCGCAATAGTAGTGTAGTATTATATATATATATAATCTGAACCATTTACCAATATTATAAATATTGTACATATAATAATAAAAAAACACCCTACTAACTTGTCCGGCTGCACGTTGAGCTCGAACTCGCAGCGATGGTACATATTGAAGTTATAATGTCCCGGATAGTTAGTGTGGAGGACAAACTTCTTCACTTGATGCGTGCGAGCGTCGAATAACACATCCTGGTGATAGATAGAATGTTTGATTAGAAGAATAGTATAATTTTTTAAATTTTCATGGTCACTGACAATAATAATTTCTTTCTGACCAATTTTGGCCACGGCAGCCATTCTCGCTGAGACTAGCCAACTGGAGATATTAAAGCGCACAAGTGTACGCGCAAACACAATTACACTATTTCATTACTCTCAAAGTTCGATGGGACGATACTTCGACACTCGCGGTAGGAGTTAAGGCACAGGACCAACGCGATACGTGCTCTGCTTTTCACAGGGGCGCAACACCGCCAATTTTACTACTCCTTCTTGAGTAGATATTAACAGAAAAACTTAGTATTTAAACTTGGCACGACTCGGGATTCGAACCCAGGACCTCCGAGTGTGCAGCCGTACATGCTAGCCACTACACCACCGAGGCAATTAATCATTTACAATATTCCTACGACATACTATATATATTTATTTACCAGACCCAAAGTGAAGTTAACTGAAGAAATGCGAGATAGTAACTCACCAATCCCAAAGTGAAGTAATTGAAGAAGTAATCAGAAGCAGGTGGTGGGCGGCGGCGCGCGGTGGGGCGGTGTATGCGCATCTTGTCGTCCGCCTTGTAATAGAGGCGCGCGGGCGCCGCCAGCGCGCGCGACACCGCCTGGCAGCTGTCGCCGAAGCGCACCACGCGCCGCCGCGCCGCCGCCGGCGACCCGGCGCGCGTGCCTGTTACCGACCAACCAACGCTCTGTATTCAGCCCTTTTTAACGTCCAACTGCTGGGGGTGGGTCTCCCTTCAGTACGAGGATCAGGCCATAGACCACCACGCTGGCCGAGTGCGGGTTGGCGGACTTCACATATCTTTTGAAAACTTACTAGGTTCTCTCAGACATGCAGGTTTCCTCACGATGTTTTCATTCACCGTAAAACAAATAGTAATCATGTTGGATATGATTAGCAAAAGAAAATATCAGGCTAGATCCGGGATTTGAACCCGCTTCATTTAGTTTCCCAAACGAGCGTTACCATCAGGCTGCCAATAAAAAGGTTTTATTTAAAATCCTCAAACTAAAAGAAATTGACAAAGCATAGAATAAAAATCAAGGCAATTTACTAAAATGATCAGGATTTTTTCTGTAAAAAAACTTATTCGTGATGGTTCTTCCTTCACAAACCACAATATGTAAACTACTAGGTAATTACACCAACGTATCAAAGGTATGAGAAACAACAAGACATCAAGGAGAGATGTTTTTTAAATTATAACATAATTACACACGCTACTTATTATATATTAACTCACCCTCAGTATATATATGCAATCTGAGTCCCAACGTCGCTGTGGGTGAACGGAGCACGTCACAGCGTCTTAGGTGAAGTTGATGGCGGTAGCATGAGAGTGGCAGGTCAGCTAAGGGCGCTGTGCATCGGCCACCGCTTGCTGAGCGGGTTAACTGGTGGTTTACAAATATATATACATAAAGTATGTTGGGACATTAACACACAGCACCATCTAGTTCCATAGTAAGCTACGAGGCTTGTGTTATGGATACCAGATAGTTTATTCACTACATATAACCATTTTAAAAAACTCATTAAAAAACTTTAAATACATAAGTACATATTATAAATATAAAACACCCATGACTGGAGTACAAATATTCATGCTCATCACACAAATGTATGCCCCTAGCGGGACTCAAACCCGCAACCGCTGGCACAGTAAGTAGGGTCACTACAAACTGAGCCAAACGTCGTCGATTTGGTAAGAGATAATTATTTATAGTAGTATAAATACGAAAGTTTGCATGTGCGTGTGTGTGTGTGTTTGTGTACTTCTGCAAGATGCAACATCTGGACCGATATGTATGAATCATGAAATTCAGCATGTTGACTTGGAAAAAGTGACTTGGCACACTCCAGCGAATCGCTCTTGCTTAAGTCAATCACTAGTAAATAATAATTCAGCCTTAGTACGTCCTACAAAACATGTAGGATTCCTCAAACCATTTGGTATGGTGGTTTCATGAACCATCATACCAGCAAAATGTAAATATTGACGTTTGAATTAAACGTCTTACGAAATATAGTTGAGCTCTAATATACATACATAGATTTCTTTAAAATTACCAAATTACCAATTGGTTATCATGTCAAAAATGATTTGCAGATGAATATCTCAGTACGAGATCTGGGTTTTGAACTCACTACACTTGCTTTTCACTTTGTGACCCCGGCCATACAAACCTGATGCTGTGAACCGTAGTATATCGTTGTCCTTGACACGACAGGCGAGCCGCCGTTCGGGAACTGAAGTGAACCAAGACCATGTGCGTATCCAGGCTGAAATATATATACACACACTTTTTAATTTAGTACGTAGCATTGATATTTTAATATCTTAAAATTCTAATGGCACAAATTTAGGTTTTTTCGGGTTAATTTCCAAAAATACTTTACAGATTTTCATACGGTTTTCACCAATAAAAAGATGGATGGATTATCTAGGAAGGTTATTGGCTATAATTTATGAACCTTATAAGAAAAAAGCTATTGGTAACATATTTGTGAATTAAGCCTGAAAAAACAGTGTCTTTGAGATTTACCGTATTATTATAAATGAGAGGAGTGTCTAGGGATACTTGTACAGTAGTAGTAGGCGGTCACTAGGTAATATTAAAAATTTCATTTGGAAGTTAAAAGAAACTGTTAATATTCAGAAGCGCTTAATGGAATGCATGATTTTTAACATTCTTGAACTTATCAAAATGTTGGGTCCAAAAACAAATTAAAAAAACAGCTTAACGTTTTACAATAAAATAAAAAAAAACTATAATCAAGATTCGAAAGCTGCAAAGAACAACATTGTAACTCGTTAATGAATTAATTTAACATTAGAAATTAACTTCCCATATACATATTTCAACTCCAAACTCAATATTGCTTGCTGAGTTACAGCGTTATTCATTCCAGGTGTCATAAAAGTACATACCTCAAATTTACTATCAACAGGGAAATAGAAGGAGAGGCCTCGAAAGTTCAGCGCAAAGAGGTGTCGCTGGCTGTCATATAGACCGGGGTGCGTTGCACCGAAACAGTGTTCGACTTGCTCTATTGATGGCGTGATCTCCGGCGAATTGAAACACATACCACTGAAAATCGATTAAATTTATATAAAAAACTATTAGAGTGGATTGTATGTACATATATAAGTATTTAGCCCATCCTAACTATTGCTGGGCACGGGCCTTTTTTCAATGCCAGGGAAAATAGTCCACCATGCTGGCCAAGTTCAGTTTGGTGAACTTCACATGTTTTAATTGAATCCAATTTGATTTTAATGAAAATTAGTTATGTTCTATCAGACATTCAGTTTTCCTCATGTTTGTTGTTTTGCTTTACCAGGATAAGTGGTAATCATGATGAAAATGATTTGCACTCGAGAATATCACAGGTGAAAGAGCCGGAATTTGAACATCCTGTGGCTTAGTCTTGTAGTATTTTAACTATAACTATTTAATATAATTTTGGGAGACAATTTCTCAAATGTAAATGCCTTCTTTTAATTCCATTTGAAATTTTGTAATTATGTGAAATTCAAATGACAATATAACAATTTAATACCATCAAGCTGACCTGCCCCATACATAAAAGTTTGTCAAAAGCGTCCATTAATTAGTTATTTTTTTAAAGAAAATATAAATAATAATTATAATAAATTTTTACATAGTATAAAATAAAGTCGCTTCCGCTGTCTGTTCGCTTAGATGTTTTAAACTACTCCACGGAATTTTAATGCAGTTTTCAGCAATAGATATATGATTCAAGAGGAAGGTTTATATGTATAATACATTCATATTATAGTACAGAAATGCCGAGAAATTCAAAGATTTGTATTTCATACTAACAGTTAAAACGTACCTAGGGACGAACCCGAGTGAAGCGAGTTTGAACCGCTAGTATCTAATAAAAATAATACTCTGTAAAAGTATCCGATAAGCATATTTAATATTGCCATGTAAATAAAGTATATATGTACCTAAAAGTTGAGTAAGAGATAAACTAATCACTATCACTAAAACTAACGACCTCGTTTAAAAAGTAATTTAGAAGATAATTAAAACACGACTATTTTAATTAAATATTATTATTTAGTTCGTGCTATAACCCTTGGGATAACAAAATGAGGGTACTTTAATATAGTGGTTCAATACTTTTACCGCGTTATTAAAACAATCTAACAGAACATTGTTAAAATAATATTTTTATTATTCCATAGGTGAAAGGCAAATCTATACATATAATAAAATTGTAGCTAAGCCGAATCTGTACATTAAATATTTTTTGGAAAATCTTATTGAAATAAACATTATTATCGATACAGAGGCCGAATCTATGGTTTTTAGAATATTTGTCTGTTTGTCTGTCTGTCTGTTACCGCATCACAGAAAAACCACTGGAGGGGTTTTGATGAAATTTGGTATGGTGATAGCTGGTTACCCGGAACAACATATAGGATACTTTTTACTGCGGGAAAATGTCTCATTTCTGAGACAAAATACAAAAACTGCAATGTAACAGTATACTAAAAAGTAAAACCTAAGAATTTGGGCTAGATAATATAATTACAATTTTTTCACGTCCGTCTGTCCGTATATCACAGTCATTTTATATCAAATGGCTTATAGTATTTGATAAAAACAGATACATATTTGGGGGATAGACGCTGTATGCCGTAATACAGGTCTCTTAGTACGGCAACAGAGGCTACCAATCTTTTATGTCGACAGATTAGAAACAAAAATTGTTTACTGTTTATGTGTATTTTTGCTCAATCTTAACATAGTATAAAATAAAGTCGCTTCCGCTGTCTGTTCGCTTAGATCTTTTAAACTACTCAACAGATTTTAACGCAGTTTTCAGCAATAGATAGAGTGATTCAAGAGGAAGGTTTATATATAGATAACGCATGCATATTATAGTACAGAACAGACGAGAAATTCAAAGATTTGTATTTCATACGAAGAGGGTGATTCGCTAGTAAATTATAAATAATTTTTTTGGAGACTAATTGAGATTTATTGGTTTGGTAAGAAGGTGTCTCGTGTGAGCAATAATACAATATAAATACAATAAAAATACAATTCCTCAGTCGTCAGTAAATAGGGGTAGTACTCCAAATATCTCCATATGTCTTTAAAATTAAGATAAATGCTTCTAAGGACTTTTTTAACTCCCGTTCTAGTGTTTTTAAAATTGTAAACGTATCAAAAACAAAAAGAGATCGTAACTCTTAGCATTTTGCTCTCTCTAACTATTGCGCAAGGGATACAGCGTGAAGTTATGTATGTATGTTTGTTAATATAGAACTAGTAAAATTTAGTAACTTTTAAATGTTTAGCATTGTAATAAAATTTATAAAAGTACAATTTCTGCATCGAAGTAAATTGGACCGTCGGGAGTTTCTAATTCCGACGTCACGCGACCTAATAAACCATTACTTAAATGTAATTGAAACTGCGATAATATCTACTAGATACTTATTATAATTATATCGAAGTGCTACCTATTTAGAAAAGTTTCTCGCCGGCTCTTCTCAGCAGAACTGCCTTCCGAGCCGGTGGTAGATCCCTCACTGACTTACTGACATTTAATTTAAATTTTAATTACTTAAAATAAAATATATTTGATTTGATCCCCGATCCTTCCAGCTGAAAAAGCTGGATTGTCTTGAATTTACATATAGACTATGACCTGGAGTAACACACAGGCTATTATTGGAAAACTAAGCCGTTAGAAATATAAAAAAAAATGACAGAAAAACTCATTTCTTCAAAAGAACGATGTAAAACTGAGATCAAAGGCACCTAGCATTGTACCAAGAAGAGATATGTAGAAATTAAATCCTTAAAGGCCCTTTTCCTTTTTCTAAACGAGGCAAATCCGCGAAAGTTGTGTTTTCTCACTTTAAATGGCGAAGTAATTACTGAGATACTTGTGAAAGTACTCTGTCCCTGAACGTCTTCAAATGCTGGACACTCAAATGTCACCAGGTCGTAAGAAACGCGGTTCGCATATAATTATTTACACATAATAAATCTTACGTCATCCGTCGTGACGGTGTTTTTTTTTACCGTTACGTCGTATGGTCTCGGTAACGGGAAAATGCCTGTACAACAAACATGTTGGGCTAAAGAAATTAAGAATCTGTCAAGTGTTAGTGGGACTCAAGCTATGGATGGTTCCGTACATTATGTAATTAATTACTTTTGTTATATTTTTCACGTAAACTATAAGTTAGGATTTGTATACCGTATGTCGTTTCACCTACAAAATTACAGTTTGTTTATTATTTAATCTGTACATAATATTAGAAAGTATAAATGCAAATATAAAATTTGAACTGATAGATTTCTCGAAGGGAGTAGGTTCAACCCCTAAAGCAGTAAAAGATAGGTTGCAATTTTGTTTAAAAATCTGTTATTCTTAAAGTACGTGGACAGAAATATACAATTAATAGATACACATATTTACCAAATGCAATTTTCAAGATCACTGGTGATAGGTGATATCACTGATCTCTTTCAATAAATATACTATCTATAACCCTATACATAACGTTATGTAAAGAGGTCACAGGTTCGGATCTCGTCGATATTTGTTTTGACCACATATTTGCTCCGGTCTAGTTTAGATAAAGTACACAGCCTAATACGGATTTTTATCGTATATTCTTAAAGCAACAGAGCTTAGGTACAATTTTTGGTATTTCTGTCTGTATGTTTATTCCGACTAATCTACGAAACGGCTGGAATTACTGGACTTTTACTTTACTGTACGGGCCATTACATTCTCTTTCCAAATTAATTTGGAATTGGCGCCCATCCACCACCTTTTCTTTTTTTTACCTTGGGAAATGCATTTACGCACGAGGTGTGGGACTCACCGGCAAAGCCAGTACTACCCACTAAAACCCAACAAAACCTTCCCCCGTCTTAATGGGGCGTCGCAGGATCGCTTACGCATTCAACTACGACGCCCCGACGGCAGGTCTGCCGAAGCAGACCACAACAACCATGGGGATGCTCCAAGGTCCACTCTGCTATCAGAGAAGTACCAGGAGCAACCCGCATGGTACAACGCCCACCGAAGAGGGCCACCTTCCACCGTCCACCAAAGTGGGCCACCACCCTGTGCGTTTCTTGGCTTCGTGCCCGGCTGGGTTGCCGGGCACTACTGAGCCCCCCCACATCGACAAGGTGAACGCACGTCGGAAGGAGGGGGGGGGGGGACATCCACCACCTGGCTGTACAGAAACCAATCAACAAAATGAACTCCAAGTTCTAGAAGTTCGCGAAAGTTTTACTATCCACGTTTCTCCATCAACAGATCAGCTCGATGGTACCACATACCGTCATACATATACAATAAAAAAATATCACAAAGTCGTATGTTATGCTTTTTAGGGTTCCGTACCCAAAGGTTAAAACGGGACCCTATTATTAAGACTCCGCTGTCCGTCCGTCTGTCTGTCTGTCTGTCTGTCTGTCTGTCTGTCTGTCTGTCTGTCTGTCCGTCTGTCACCAGGCTGTATCTCATGAACCGTGATAGACAGTTGAAATTTTCACAGATGATGTATTTCTGTTTCCGCTATAACAATAAATATTAAAAAACAGAATAAAATAATTATTTAAGGGAGCTCTCATACAATAAACGTGATTTTTTGCTCGTTTATGCTCGATACTGATAACGGGTAAAAATAACTTCGTAAAAAATTAACAGGTAGACGCTTGAAATATTCACCGAATATTTAGTTAGATATTCACTTTAAAAGTAAATAATTAAATTAAAATAAAAAAAATATTTAAGGGTTGCTCCCATACAACAGACAAGATTTTTATGCCGTTTTTATAGATAATGGTACGGAACCCTTCGTGCGCGAGTCCGATTTGCAATTGGCCGGGTTTTTACCAGTCATATTATCTACTAAAGTTAGAAATTATGCAAAAAAAAAATATTTAAAATGTACTCACCTATACCTAAGTTTAACTAATTTCATATTGTATATTTCTATGATCTTGAGCCGCTGTGCGACCGGGTCGAATATTAACCGTACGCCGTCCTGCGGCATATTTATTACTAGGTCTACTGATAGGGGATTCTGAAATAAAATACATTATTGTTATTAATAAGTATTACTATATTACAAGCTTTTATTTTATACTAGCAACTCACCCTCGCTCCGCTCGGGTTCGTCCCTACTTACGTTTTAATGTTTAGTATAGATTTCTCAGAAATGAAATATTTTCCCGCAGTAAAAAGTATCCTATATGTTGACCCAGATAGCCAGCTATCATTATACCAAATTCCATTAATATCTGTCAAGTGGGGTTCTTGTGATGCGTTCCCAGACAGACAGACAGACAAAACTTCTCAAAACTGTAGATTCTACCTCTGTATCGATAATAATGACTATTTTAATAAGATTTTCCAAAAAGTACTTAATGTACAGATTCGACTCAGTTAGAATTTTTATTATATGTATAAATTAAAACAATCATCAAGATTACAAAAATACCTAAAAATAGCAAAATTTTGAACAAAATTAAAATATGAGTCGGCAAATTTAATAAATAATTTTCACAATTTCACTACGAGACAATACAAATAAAACTTCATATTTTGTGGATTTTTAGGAACGCAAGCCGTAAAACACATGTTAATTATTAAGCCATTGTGCCGTATGACGTGTTGATAAGAAAGTGCTTCATTCTCCTCGAAATCGCAATAAAGATTTGAATGATTCACACAAAACGTGGAACAAAACAAACAGTTAACCGAGAACGTCGACCTAAATAAAATATATTAATATGTACATAGATCTATACATATATGTAATTCTGAGTCGAATCTGTATGTATATTAAATATTTTTTTGGAAAATCTTATTGAAATAGTCATTATTATCGATACAGGGGCCGAATCTATAGTTTTTACAATTTTGGTCTGTTTGCTGTCTGTCTGTCTGTGACCGCATCACGGAAAACCACAGGAGGGATTTTGATGAAATTTGGTATGGTGATAGCTGGATATTCGGGTCAACATATAGGATACTTTTTATAGCGGGAGAATATCTTGTCTCTGAGAAGACTAAACTAAAGATAAATTACAAAAATTAATATTAATATAATTATTTTCCTATAGTTTTTTTTATTTCTTTTAGTAGTTTGAGACCGCGTATGTACATATATTTCACACTTTAAAAATACTTATCTGACTAAGGCCTCTCACTCATTGACATATATATATATATATATATATATATATATATATATATATATATGTGTGTGTGTGTGTGTGTGTGTGTGTGTAGGAAATAATGCTAAAGAAGGGCTGGGCTATACTAAGAAAACATTAGAATTAAGTAGATAATTATTATTTCTCACCTGATCACTATATAAAACTTGTACCCCTCGTATCGTTCCGACTTGACTCTGTATAATTGAAACGGCTTGAGAAAAGTGCATCCCTGAAAAAATAAAATTTTATATTTAAAATAATTATTATTTAAAGTTATATATGTGTAGTGTAACAAATATCTGGTACCCATAACACAAGCCTCGTAGCTTACCGAGGAATTAAATGGTGCTGTGTGTTAATGTCCCAAGATATTTATTTATTTATAATTATAATGTTTTGTGCTTAGTATATTCCGTTTTCCTTTTAAATCCGTTGAATCTTCAGAGTAAAAGCTAAAACTATTTAAGTTCTCTCAGACATGCAGACTCCTTACGAAGTTTTTCCTCGCCGTATACTAATGATGTTGAAAATGATATTTGCACATGTAAATCTCAGAGGTACGAGACCTAGGGTTTGGGTTTCATTTGGTTTTTCAAGTGAGGGCATTACCAATGGGTGAAAAGGAGAAAAATAACTAAAATATTCATATAAATAACAAGCGACTCACCCCCACTTCGCTCGGACTCGTCGCTATGTTGCTTCCCCATACAAATTTTCTTCCCCATTTTCACCCGCATAAGGGATGATTTTCGGAATGAAAATCTATCCTATGTCCTTCTCATGATCTCAAACTATGTTCTTACCAAATTTTATCTAAATCGGTCCAGTAGTTTCGGAGCTTATCCGGTACAAACAAACAAGCAAAAAATCTTTCCTTTTTATAATATTAGTATAGATAACTGTTATTATGAATAAGAAATTAAGTGAACTATTGTTCATCTGGTGATCTAAATTCGACCATAATCATCGTAGGTATACTAACTAACGGTTTTCACATATTTAAATCTCGTCAAAAAGTACTAAACAAAAAATCCGTTGCAGTTTGTTAAATTTTTTTTAATAAGTATTTTAATTAAATATAGCATATTCAATATTTAATTATAATACTTATCAAAAAAAAATGTTTAGAAACAAAAATCAACAAATATTGTAAGGTATTTTATTGCCATTTTAGAATTTTTGAAATCATTTTTGTAAAATAGTGGGTAGGCACTCTCTGTAACAAGTATGTGTTTGAGACGTCTATAACCTTATGTCTCTCCCGTGACCATGATTGCTGTAAAGCATTCGAAACGTCGGGAACCAAAAATCAAAATAAATCCGCGAAATAATCCGAAAAGATAGTTTTATTTAAAATGTCAAATATTCGCGTAAATCTAAGAAAGTATTATAAATATTTTTTTTACATATAAATCGCATCAATACGAATAACAAGTTAAAAGCTAATAAAAAATATTTCTCGTAATATATATATATATATATATATATATATATATATATATATATATATATATATATATATATATATATATATATACTATATAATACCTATATATATATATATTTATATATAGGTATTATACGTAGGTACATATCATGTATCACGAACTGTTACGTCTGCGAGACATTTTTGTTTTTGTCATCCGACCGATATTAATAAGCGAAAAGTTAACGACACTTGATAAATATTTAAACGTTATATATTAATTTCATTTTCTATTTGTAGGAGCATAAACAGCTTAATTGAAACAACCTTTAATGTAAATGCTTCATTGTATGAGTTATATAGAGTTTCGACATATTTTTATATCTATACATATAATAAAATGCTAACTGAGTCGAATCTGTACATTAAATATTTTTTGGAAAATCTTATTGAAATTGTCATTATTATCGATACAGAGGCCGAATGTATAGTTTTTAGAATTTTTGTCTGTCTGTCTGTTATCGCATCACAGAAAAACTACTGGAGGGATTTTGATTAAATTTGATATGGTGATAGCTGGTTATCTGGGTCAACATATAGGATACTTTTTACCACGGGAAAATGTTACAATTCTGAGAAAAAATACATAAACTGCAATGTAAGAGTATACTAATATGTAAAACCTAAGAATTTCGTTTTTGGTCATCTTGACGCGGGCGGAGCCGCGGGCAATGCTAGTCCTTCTATAATTCTTTCAAAAACATACTATTTTGACTATAATAAATATCCCACTCATCTAAACATAAAAGGAATACAATTGCACAAATAAATACATATCAAATTCAACTACTTTATTATTCATGGCAGTGCCTCTGATTGTTTTATCATTGTTGTCTAGCTAACCAAACGATAACAATAAGCTACTCTATTGTAATAAACGTTGTTGAAAGTGTCTTTTATGGATCATAGTCATAGAAATATTTATTCTGATCTTTTGTTTAAAATTTAAAAAAAAAAAAAAACTTGCCATTAGTACCTAATCCATACTAATATTATAAATGTAAGAGTAATTCTGTCTGTCTGCTACGTTTTCACATCTATACCGCTGAACCAATTATGATGAATTTTGGTATAGAGGTAGATTGGACCTTGGAGAAGGACACAGGTTACTTTTGTCGCGAAATAAACTTAAAAGCGGTGAAATGAAAGAATGAAATTTCTATGGTTTTATTGCTAGAGACAAAGATAAGTTATATATTCTGGCATATGATATTGATAGAAAATAAACAGTGAAATTTTATAAAGCAAGGGAAGCGTGTACTATAGGAATATTAAGCCTCTAGTCTAAATATAAAGGATTTGTTTAAAGTTTGAAGCATTATAATTAATGTTACTGATTAATACAAATTAATCTATAGGTACATGTAATAAAATTCTCAGAATTTATACATTAAATATTTTTTGGAAAATTTTATTGAAATAAACATTATTGTCGATACGGAGGCCGAATCTATAGCTTTTAGAATTCGTGTCTTTGTTTTGTTGTCTGTCTGTCTGGGAACGCATTACGAGAAAACCACTGGACAAATTATAATGAAATTTGGTATGATGATGGCTGGTTATCCGTGTCAACATATAGGATACTTTTTACTGCGGGAAAATATCTCATCTCTGAGAAATCTATACTAAATGTTAAAACGTAACTAGGAACGAAACCGAGCAGAACAAGGGCGAGTCGCTAGTCATACTAAGTATATATTATAAAATTATACAAATATTCTTTAAAGAAAAAGTATTAATTAAACAAAAATTAACATGCAATACAGTCGATTTTAGATTAATTTAATTAATTAAAAATACTTAAGTATATTATAAATAAAAAAATGTGTTTGTTGCATTGTACTTCGTTCACGTGGCAAGGGGACTACGATTTTTCATTGTGGTGCAGAAATAGTCTGCAAAGTTTTTATATCCCGCTACAAAAAATGGTTTCTTGGGTTATTAGTGTAGCTAAGTGTAACTAAAGAAAAAATAAATTGTCGTCAAACTTCTGTTAATAACTTATTTACTTTTTCCTTCAAAGGCGTCCATTTTACGGCATCACATTAAATATACCTAACAATGCCGCCTTAAAAGTAAGTATAATGCTTTACATTACTTCAATTTATTTTAACTTCAATAGCTACAAGTAAATATAATAATGTTAATATTGCGTCCTTTAACATGGACCTACCTTCTTCTCCTCTGTTTGTCAACAATTTTTATTTTAATTTTTTATTTATGAACATATGACATAACTTTTTTATTTATGAACCGATTAAAATATAACAAATACTAAATACTAAATCAACTTTACCAAAATACATTAGTGAAAACCGCAACCAAACCGGTTAAGCCGTTTCTGAGATTAGCGCGCACAAACGCACAGACAAACAGACAAAAGTTCTAAAAACTGTTTCGGGTTCTATTCCGTTAATAAAGACCCTAAATAATAGTTTTTCTCAAATATCTTCCATTAACAGACAGCGATCAGTTACATATATTTTATGTAGGTACATATATATACAGTATCCATGAGTTTTTTACATAACATTGACCCACCCTTGAAGTAGAACATATTACCCTAAAGGTAAACTATTCATTAAAAAAAATTATGAAAATCGATTTACAATTGGCGAATGAATATGTGGCGTTACATACCCACAAAAAAATACAAACTTTTATGCCTCCCTTCTTTGAAGACGGTTAAAAAGTAAGTAATTACATACGCTATGCATTCGAAATTTCCCCTTTCAGTCTCTGTGTACTTAATGGATTTTGAATGACTTAATGCAAAGTAATTTTGTGAGGTCTTTGGACTTCAATTAAGAATACAAATGTAATCGACGACACGTTTGGCTCAGTTTGTAGTAACCTTACTTGCTATGCCAGCAGTCGCGGGTTCGAGTCCCGCTGAGGGCATTCATTTGTGTGATAAGCACGAATGTTTGTACTCCAGTCATGTGTGTTTATATTTATAATATGTATGTATGTATTTAAAGTTATATGTGTGTAGTGTTATGAACTATCTGGTATCCATAACACAAGCCTCGTAGCTTACCATGGAACTAGATGGTGGTGTATGTTAATGTCCCAACATATTTATTTATTATTATTATTAATATACCAACTAGAGAAATAAAATTAGAGTATTTTGAAATAAACGTAGAATGTTCAAAGAGATACCTATGTGGTAAATGCTTTTTAATAAAAAAAAGTTACATAATACATAGACTTTAAAATCACTTAAATACTATCTAACATGATTATTCTAAATTTAGGGGTTTATTTTTTTTAATAAAATATAAAGCAACTCTCTAGCCATAACCAATAAAGCCACTCTCTATTAATAAAAAAATTAAACAAAAATCGAGGCAAATTTGCCGAAATACGTATAACTTAAGTCTTAACTGAAAACAAATACAGACGAATTGAATACTTCCTCTTTTTTTGAAGTAGGTAAATTTTTTTGAAGTATTGCAATTATAACAATTGTAGAAGAAATAGAAAATTATTGTATTTAAAAAAAGGTCAAGTCAAGAAACTGAAGACTCCTCGACGAGCGTGTAAATAGAGATTAGTGCGGTGGTGACAATGGAAAAAAGCACTCAATTCAATTTGACTAACCGATAAGAGATAATACCTATAGCGTAAAAATATATATATGTATATTAAATCTTTTCACTTCTTTATTTACAATAGTATAAAAGAAAATCGTCGGCGAGCATCAGTATACATAAGTCTGTACAATGCGCTAACCTCGA